TATGTTCGAATATATGCCTTAAATATTGTATTTTTTCTTTAATTTATTTAAATAGATTATATTTATTTATTTCTTTCATAATTTGTTTCAATAGTAGATCCCACGGTTAGGCACGGAGGTCCTAGCGTTTGCTTTTCATAACTTTTATTTTATTTAATTTTTTTTTCTTTAATAGATGCGTGCGCCAATTCACGCCATCAAATCACTAAACAAGATACATTAAAAGACATTTCCACATTTAAAGATTGTTATTATTTCCTTCAGTAAAATGTTTCTTAGTCCTACTTCATTTTGGTGCGTTTTTAAGATTCTTTCTAAGGAGAATTTTAAATAGTAACGATTGTATCTAAGTAACACCAATGAACTTTATGTATTAATTGTTAGCTATCGACCCTTAAACATTAAACCCTTGAGCAAAGTGAAAGCATTTTATTCCTCGGATAATGAGAGAAACGAAGAAAACTTTTTCAGATGCTATTTCTTTGATGTCATTTAGATACAGTGTATATATATAATAATAATAATAATAATACACTTTATTGTACCAAAAACAAAATACAAATTGCAGAAAAAAAAAGAAAATTAAACATGAATTATTCTTTTTTGGTACAAACTACAAGGCGCCAATTCAGGAAGCCGAAGCTCCTGTTCTTCCATTGGAACCTCAACAAAATAAAGCCAAGTAAATTTGAGAATAAAGAGCACAATAAGAAACATAAAAAACAGAAACAATAAATTCGCATTTATAAGTACTGATTATGGCACCAATATCTAAGAATATGTAACTAAAAATAAAATAAATAAAGTAAATAACCAAAAATAAATATATATATAATCTATCACCTATATATATATATATATATATATATATATAGGTGACGTCCTTTGAGGTAGGGGCTAATTGATCGTCTCTTTTCTTATTATGACTCTATCTCGTTTATCTACATTTATTCTCTTTTTGAGAATAAACAGTGCGTGATGCAACCCAACATATACAGTTGCCGATTTTATACATATGGTTAGCAATCTGGAGTAGTATAATCAATGATATTAGACAAAACTTATTATTATCCTGCATCTCATGCGAGAAGTTATAGCCGCAATCTTCGTTGTTCTAGAATAGCTTCAACATCAGGCAAAATCCTATCTTTTTCAAGACTAGTAGAGGAAATACAGTTGTAAGTGCTGAAGGGGAAGATATAGAGCCCGCAATAAAGGATTGTAATCGTCATATTAAGGTGATGAACGTTGCGCTAAAGGTAGCCAATACAAGTGGTGAGAAGCACCACATAACCACTTGTGCTACCAGTTGTCCAGAAGAAAATATTGATGAAAATACACTATCGTGTATAAGAGTACGTTATCATTTATCATGTACTAATTAATAGCTTAAATAGTTTATTCAATTACAATTACATTATTTTACTTACGGTGAATACAAAGAATCAAATGATGCGTCCAGAACACAGTACTTACTACAACGGCATCAAGTTTAATTTTTAAACTGTGTTGCTTACACCAGTGATAAGGATTCAAAAATATTTGTATGCCGCTATTAATTTTGTTGCCAATAATATTCATAAAGAAAACAACAAAATGCTAATATTAGTCCTAAAGTCCATAAAGCAAAAGCACCTCCGACGTGATCAAATTTCAATGGTGTTATTTGCGCTTTAGGTGGTTGAGTGGAAAATTCAACTATCCTTTGAACGGTTTTGTCGGAATGTTTAATAACAGACTAAAATTAGATAATATTTAAAAATTATTTCGTACTTTAATTTGATTTGTTTTACATGGTATTCCCAATATTGTACCAATCCACTTTGAGATATTTTCAATAATAAAGCATCCACCAAAGGTAATAAAACGGACCCTTTTCTAGTGTATAAAACAATAAATCCAGCATAAATATCTTCCTCTAAAATCCGCCTTTGTCTAGCTCCTTCGACACTTATATAATCAGCCAAAGCAAAATTTCCTTCTTGTAAATGTTCAATAGCAAATGCAAATTCATCTTTGTTCAATTTCGATAAATTAGCTTCCCCGGTTATAACGAAATTTTGAACTAATTTTTTATGAACCGCCTTAAAAAAATTAAATTTTATTTCTAATTAATTTTTTTTAGTTTAAATTACCGAATTGGAATCTGCAATCGATTCAACCCAAACAATATCGGTAGCGCCCCATTTAAAATCAGAATCAGCGAAATCTTTATTAGTTTTTAATATTCTTGTGTATCTTGGTATCGTCATGTTACTAGCAAGTCCGCTACTATAAATCGTCGCAACTATTAGACCAAGCGTAAGTAACAAAGCGTAAATAAATCTTGGTGTTAACTTATTCGGGATTGAAACCACGTTTTGACTTAAAAAAATTGCTTCGGTTTGGAGAATTGAAATAATTACGTTTTCTCGTATATCAAATCGATTATTGTTGGAAAATAGAACAAAGAAGATTGAGAGAAAAGAAAATATTAATGAGAAAACCCATGCGATCCACATTGATGTACTAAATGATATGAATGGGGTTAACCAACCACCTTCTAATCTGCAGAAAAATAAATAAGTAAGGAAAATCAATCGATGGTGATCTGGCAATAGCTGCTGATTAACTTTTTATACTGTTTTATTAGATCTAAAGTGCGAGACAACATTTAACGAAACCAATATGTATATCAGCGTAAACGAGTCATTAAATAACAATAAGACTTTGATATTATATTGAAAGTGATTAAGGATCAGTGTCATTACTAGCATTTATCAGCAGATACTATAACCAGAAGGGTAACTTTTAGATCTTTTAGTACCTTCGACTACCTTCGAAGAACTTCGAAGATCCGGAGATCAAATTTTGGATCTAAGGATAAGACCGGCGATTACGGTTAATTTAATTAAGTTAATGTAAGTTAATGTATGATCGTAACAGTGAAGTTTATTTTCCTTCTTATTATCTGTTTATTAGCCGTAAGGGTGATTTACTTTCAGCAAGTGAATCTGAAAAATGTAAGGTAATGCATGAGGTAAGCAATAGCATTCAAAGAAACAATACCGCACATGAGTGAATGAAAAAATTGCGGAAAAATTGAATGAACCTCAACCTTAGTAAATGAAGCAAATAAATAGACGAAGTTTCAAAGTTTTGGCTTTCTTCTTCTTCGCAAATTAACGCCTAACTATTTTTTATTGCTCCTGTTCAACTTGATATTTAATCCAATAACGTTATGTTTATCTAATCTATGAGGTTGTAATAAAATATTGTTACTAAGACTATGTGTTATCTGGAACTGATTCTAGACTGATTCTAGATTCTAGACCGCTACGTCCTTAAGACTTATATCATTGGTTTCAACTATGCTCCATGGTTCACGCATGATGCTAAACGTTGCTTGATTACTGATAATTAATACTGAATATGATTGCTGTTACAATGAATTTAGAAGTGTGGAAGCTTATGAAGACTAAGCTGAAGATTGTTCATCAGTGCAACTTGTCTTGACAATCTTGTTTGCCTCATACAGGTGCAAAAGAAAATATTATGTACAAAAGTAAAATATCATAGGGCGTAGCAAATTATAAGGTAGAAGCTATGATGCTCTCATAGGTAGGAACAAAACAATATTCTACGTAATCTGTCTTGGGCAGACACAAAATATCATGCTGAGATAGGTACAGAATAAAATATTAGGTTCATAACCAATATATCATGAGAAATAACAAATCATGAGACGTAAAAGCAAAAGATGAACGGTAGAAACACAATCATGATCATTTATAAAAAGAAACATTATGCGTGGAAGCTATGATGTCTTCATAGACAAAAATAAAACTGTATTCTGCGTAAAGTACCTTGGGCAGACAAGAAATGTCATGTTAAGATAGGTGCAGAAAAAAAAATTATGTGCAGAAGCAAAATATCATATGTCATAATGAGACGTAAACGCAAAAGATGGAGGATATCTACACAATCATGATCATTTAAAGAAGAAATCATTATAAGTAAACTAAGTAAGTATATAAGTAAAAGTATTCATAAGTACCTATTCTTAGCAAGTAAAGCAAATAAATAGACGAAGTTTCGAATGAGGGTGTGACTGCTTACATCCAACTGAAAACTGCAGTAACACAATTCTCTAAAAAGCAACTACCAACGCCAATTTTGAAGACGCATGCGTTTTTCTTCTTCACAAATTAACGAATAATGATATTTAACTAAATATTATGTCTATATCTAATCTATGCGGTTGTGATAAAGGATTGTTACTAAAACGATGTGTTATTTGGACCTGATTCTGTTATTTTGAATTAGGTGAGGAATTATTTAGGAACATTTGCAGCATATGAGACCGCTAGGTCCTTAAGACTTATATCATTCGTGTCAACAAGTGAACAAGTGAACCATCATCCATGATTCACGTTTAGTATAATAAACGTTGCTTGATGACCGATAATTAATACTGAGTATGATTGCTATTACAATGAATTTAAAAGTTTGGAAGCTTATGAAGTCTAAGCTGAAGATTGTTCACCAGTGCAGCTTGCCGATTTTGTTTGTCTCATACCTTTGTCATCGCCGTAACTACTACTATAGGCGTTTTAGGCAAGTATTCACTGGAAACGCATCAGTTTTTATAAGTAACAAACAAAAACGATTCAAAGATGTAAATGGAATTCTGTAAGGGATTTGTATGGAGTTACAAAATGGAGAAATTGAATTATTCAGTGCTATTAAAACCTCTAGAGAAATTAGAAGAAACTCTTATCTATACAAAGATATACAGTTACACACAATATTTTAAAGATTGCGTAGTTACAAATATTAAGGTACTCTGTTATGATCTCAATATGCAACACAAACTACGTTTTAGTAATGAGTTTCAAGATCTTCTTTCAAGTCTTAAGGTATTAACCCAAATTCAAAATTTTTCAAGGCAGTACAAGGCATCAATTACAGAACAGAAGAAGAAAGATTTACAAACAATACGTGTTATCTGGTATCAATAGTAATAACACTAAATTAAAATCAATGACCAATAATAGCAACATTGTTTGAGTGGGTTGTTCATATTTTCAATAATTTTGTATGTCATGCTACAGATTCATGCCGTACCTCATACATACGTTCTACCATTCAAAGACAAGATGACAATCCTGCAATAAAAAAATTGTTTGAACCATTAAATATTTAAATGAAATGTTAAAGTAGTGATATATAAACAAAATCTTTTTTTTTTAGTATTTATAGCAATTATTGTCAGATCACTATTAAAAATTTAAATTATGCTTTTGAAAAAGTTATTCATTATTACATTGGTCCTGGTACTAAAACAGTAACTCCAGATCGAACAAAAGCTTTTGAAACATCTAAATAGTGATAGTCGTGGTACCACATAAACATTCCAGCTTAAAAATAATTTTTTTATTACAAAATTAATATCGCTACTAATTTATCTACCAAATCCGATGTCGCATTCATCTTTGGCTATGTTCCCTAAAATTCCAATCCCCGTAAAATTTTCTCTGGCTTCCCCCCAAAGTTCTTCATCAAAATCTTTTACAATAAAAGTCATGTTGTGTACTTTAGCTAATTCTAAAGCAACCGTTAATTCGGTTCCGTCGAAATAATCGATGATCGCGTATGGTTTGTAAGTTATCGTGCCTATTCTTAAAGTTCTTCCGTGTTGATTTGTTAATTTATCGGGGTATAAATCATTTCCGTACAAAAAACTGGAATTTTTTCCAAACCATTCATCCAAAATATAGATTTCATTAAAATTAGTAATCCCAACGTATTTATGCGTATACAATTTCCAAATTATTTCTTCTTCGATTTCGTTATTATCAGGAAATATCGCAACTATATCAGAAACATAATCAATTTCTTTTGAATTAAAAACTTCCGTAGTATTTTTAAAAAATCCTTCTGTAGGTAAAATTAAATATTTTCTGGTATTAAATCGATTATGACCACGTTTTATGGAAGATTCCACAGCAATAAAATCTTGTTTGGGATTTTTTGTACTTAATATAAAATTTTCGCAATAAAATTTCGTGTATATTTTTGGATATCTTTTGAATGATTCAACGTTTAATAATACGATGGGTAATTCACCTTTATATTCAAACATCGACGTTTCATCGTTAATAACATACAAACAATTTGTTGTTTCTTTATTCAAATAGTTTTCAATTACTATAGTTGATAGAGTTATCAAAATCGAATTCATTTAGATGAATTGGTGATCAATGCAATTTTAGTGATGAAAGAAAAAAGAATAAATTGATTTTATACCATTGTAATTGTGTAAATGTTATATAAAATTAATTTCATTTCAACATGCAATTTTGTTTGAGTTAATAATCAATAAATGAAACGCATTTAAAAAATATTTTTTTAATCATATTTATTTACGTGTTCGTTTCATTGAACGATACTTATTATTTATTGGGTTTCATATTTACCTTGACAATTAATTTATAACGATAAATAACTATAAATATTTTTTTAAATTACACATATTCAATTTATTTATTATTTCTTGGTAGAATATACACTAAATTGTACAATTAATAGTATTATAGTGATCAATATTTTTTTATCCACAAATTTAATCTTTTTTTTATTTTATAAATATAATTTTTAGATATAAATTTTTTAACCATCGTATTTAATATCGTAATTTTTTTTTAAATCGTGTAAATAGTACTTTTTATATAGATTGGTAACTTTAAAATTAAGAGTTAGACGTTTCTTAACTTATATTATCTTATAAATTTAAAGTTATCAATCTGGATAGGAAAGTCTTCTCAAAAAAATTGTACAACATCCCACACATGTTTAATGCGAATATGATACAGATTTTTTTAATCTAAATTAGCTATAAGATACTTTACCTCAACAACCTGGAAAAAATACAATTCTCTAGGTACGAAAACTAATAAAGTGTAATGATAAATATTTTCTGTATACGTGTAGGAAGCATATTAACGACTTGCTTCTCGCTTTGTATGCAGATATAGTGTCATACGTTAATAATACATTACTAATTTCTTTGGTTATGAGAAATTGTTGTTTGCAGATGGCCAGAAGATTGTTCCTTCTATTTAGCTAACAGTAGGGTGTGCGATTGTTCAACGTGATCTAGTAATACATTTTTTCTTCATGCAACATTAGTATCTCAACGTTGCCTGTATTATTAGTATGTAGCTACTTCAATGCAATATTGGGGAATTGCCATATTTTCATTGACTCTTAATCATTTAATAAAAACCTTTTTTGTTTTATTTAGTAAAAAACCTCGTTTTTGGTAACTTTAAGAAATTTTAAATGAACCTCATTCAAAGCCAAAAACCTGTTGAATATGTACTAAATTTTTAAATAAAAATTAATTTCTTGAAGGAAAAACTTAAAATTGAAAAAATAGGCAAACTGTTACTCGCCTAATTGTCATAATCAAATTAATTAGAAAACGTGGGCAAAGCTACACAGAAGATAAGCTGCGAGGCATGTTTGGAGTGGTTTCTGTAAGAACTACGCTACGGAGTTTGTTGTTTTAATTAGTAGGGTTATTGCTTTTAGTAAGTATTTGGATTATAGGTTGATGTGCAGAACATGAGTAACTTGGTCGTAACTTTATGTAGTTGGAATTTGTGCGAGTTGTACTACTCTTGTGCATAGAAACAGAGTGAACTTGATTCTACAAAATCGTGCGAAAAATTTGTCCACTTCTATTTTTATCATTTCTGTGCACTTGCTCTTGTCTTTGATGCAGAGATATCTATTAGATCTGGGATTTATCTCTTATTGTTTATCTCTTATCATGTATGTAATACAATATGATAACACATATATGTATTCAGTTGCTTCCTCCAAGTTTTCAAAACTATGCAAAACGTGTCTACTTTATGCCTGTATTTAAGAAGGGAGAAAGGAATGATATAAACATTTATCCCCCGATTACCATTCTTTGAAACTTTAGTAGAAAAGCATCGAGCATAGAAAACTAATGAAAAGTTGATGAGAACACTATCTGTAGTATGTATGTTGAGTACACTTGAAGAAAGGCAGTTTGTGAAACTAAAAATCCTTGCCTAAGGCACAAAATGGTTAAAATTTCAATATCGTGCTGTTCTAACTTCAAAATTTTCCTATGCCTACTCAAAATTTATACAGTAAGAGTAAAAAATTAAATTGCAAATAAAAATTACAAAGTTATAAATAATGCAAACCTGAAACAAAATTGTTATTCGTTTTCGTTGTATTTTTGATTCATTTCAATGATTTAATAATTTAATTCTAATTTTTCATTCTAACTCTGTCATTTACTATCACGAACACGTAATATATTCTAGTTTAAGCAAATGTTAAACACGGTGGCAAGGACATTATAATTAATTTTTTTAAATCTAAATTTCGTGCTGTCCCAATTGGATTTATATAGTCACCTTTTTCTTCTATTTAATGGAGACACTAGAAATGCGTAAACTACATTTAGATATTTTTAAACATTGATGTAACATTCAAGACTTGATTGCAAAAAAGGAATTAATATGGGTAAAATTTTTTATAAGGACAAACATTTTTCAAACACTCGCCTTGAAAACCTGTGTTAGAACGTTGTACAAGAAGTTTGGTAGACCACCTACATTTATTTTGAAATATACAGTGTTCCAACTTTTAATTAGTAGGTTTTTCTAGGACAAACTCATCTTGTTAATTGAAATAAATAAATAAACGATAATAATACCATTTGAATTATTTTTGTAATAGCTACATTCAAAATTGAGACGAATTATTACATTTAAATTTTAATTTTATCAGGAAATAATCTGGAAACTTTGAATTTTTATAGATATATTCGAAGCTCTTTTTTATAGTTATTTAGTTTAATAGTTTTTATAATTATTTAGTTTAATATTAATGTTAAAAAAATATTATAACAAATTATGAAAGAAATAAATTTTGTGTGATATGAACTTGTAGAATGTTCAAAATGTCAAGTTATAACATTTTGATACAAGACAAGCAATAAAAATAATTAAAATAAAGAACTCGGATATCTTCAGTTATGATAACCGTATCAAATATTTTCACATTAGTTACTCTAGTAACAGAGAAAAGTTTTTGGAAGGAAGGTTTTATATTAGAAATAGATGTTATGACCTTTTTCCTAAATTTCACTGTAGTCTTATTTTTAGTGTAGAAAACTAATCAAAAATTCAAAGAGTATTATCAAATTACCTGTTGATATCGCTGCTTATCGTGTTGTTTTGGATTTATACAACTTCGTATATTTTAGTAAATTTTGCAGTAATATGTTGGTGTTGTCATGGTTGTCTGAATATCTTTCAGTTTCTTTTCCATTCATTGTATAAAGTTTGTTAGTTATGTCATCACATACCTAACTTCTTTAAGACTGAAGATTTCTTTGTAACATTCGTTTTATTGTGGTTGATTAGCGACTGATCCTGGCCTATAAATGTGGAAAGCTAATAGTTCCCAGAGTTGTATCACCTTTAAACACCGTTCTTCATTTAAATATTGCAATTGGTATAGCACCTAACATTGTGGAACCATTCAGCAAAATAGAGAATCAAAACCTGTAAAGATCAGACATGTCATAAAATTTATTGCAACTTCTCCTACGTTTGTCACTGTCAACTATACATGGTTTAATCTTTTTTATAAACATACGAGGGTAGTCCTAGAAGTACCCGGTCTCACATATACTTGACATTCATTCATTAATAGTGACAATCAAAGCCCTTGAAAATATACGTGATCGCAGAACTGTCTGATCTGTAAGCGATCCGGACTTCATTTTCTCAATTGTTGAAGATAAGGCAACGCAACCTTGTTATATAAATAACTAGTGTAGTAAAAACACGATTGATGTACTGAATCGTCCTCGTTCTGGGGCGTGATATAAATTTTTTGGCCTTTATTATTCAACAACGAGGTTCACCGTACAATGCTTAAAGTGATCTAGGTTATAAATGCATCAAAAATTTGGTACTTGCAATTTTGATTCATTTCAAATTAAAATGTTGTTCATGATATTGTATTTATTACGTGTATATGTCATTATGGACGATATCCATTTCTGTATGAGAGATCAGATCTCTTTTAGAACTCGAGGTTGCTTCTACGGGAGTATTGCTTCAATTTTCCATTTTTGTGAAACTTTATCACTGCAAATCTGTATTGACTCGACACATCTCATGATACTTGGTGCTCTGAGATTTCTTACCTCATCACATCTCTCTGATCGTATTGAAAACAAATTCTAAGATAATTGTATAGTATCGTGATTAGTAGCTCCATCAATAACAACTAATGGGGCATTCAAAGGAATGCACGAAAAGGGTGATGCGGAATCGGTGAGCAACATGTTGGAACTTTAAAAGGCATAATGAATCTTTTGGAATATCAGCAAACTTCCAATTTAAGTAACAGTCGCACTGAACTCCAGTGTTGCTCCCCACAAGTTGGCGACAGAGCAAGTTTTAAAAATATAGAAACTATAAATTATGAGTGATTACTTTTACTCAAATATGTAATGAATTATGAAATGTAATTAAGTATAAGGGAATATTTTCTGACGAGTTTTGAGTCGTTATGGGAACTTCTTAGACACCCATATCATATTTAAATACAATTCGAATTTTTGGGGCCAAAATATTCTACACGTTTCGATGTTTAGACAATTTTTAAGTGAGTCCGTTAACATATTGGATTTGGTTTCCATATGAGTAAATATCCGGCCATTAAATGGACACCTCCATTTTATAATTGGGAAAGTTGAAGCCTAAAACTCCATCATGATTGAACATGTTTGTTATAACGCTTTTTCAAAATTGTGCTAAGAAAGCTTAAAATCCATCGGCCTCATATTGAACCACAAACTCTTAAAAGAAAGAACTTGTGAATGCAATACGATCGCGATGTTATTAGTGGAGGAAGTGGTTACGTTGATTTTTACATAAACATAAGTCTGAAGTTACATCGCTCAGATTCCAAACTTGCTGAAATTCTAAACTACAAGAATAAGTTAAAAATTATACAGACCAATCTCCAAGTTGCAAGAAGAAGGTTGGAATTGGAACAAGTTACGAATTATTTTTCTGCTTTTAATTTAGTGTCTTGAATATTCAACGTTCTTAAATCTTGGTGTGGTAAGATATGCAAGGTATTAATGTAAATGTTGATAAATATTAAAAAATACTTCAAAATAATATTAGTTTATGTCCACGAAAAATTAAAAATTTCCAGTTTATTTATAGCTTTAGGCCCAACTTTGAATGATTAAATCTCGAAAGTTTATATAAAAACTTCATGTTATTTTGCTTAGTTTTATAATCACCCGATTAAAAGTTATAACATCCTGTATAATTGCATCAAATATAATATATAAACGACATACAATATTTACCAAAACACTATTCAGTGAAAAATTTATACCGTAGCTAATTTATAATTATGAATATAATATTTATGGAAATACCAATCGAATAAGGTTAGCACACAAAATTATGGATTGGTTTAAACAATTGATAAAACACAGTTGGTATACTTATTTAGGGACAAGACACATTTACTTATAACTATAAATAGTAAATATATACGTTACTTTTTTAATCAGATACAGTCTTTTCGTTATGTATTTAAATATAAATTAAAAATATAAAAGATTTGGTATTCAATCGTAACTAAATCGGAGATTTGACTCGATATTTAACAAATAACCTTTAATATATATTTAAAACATACTTTATCACACTATGTTATAAAAAAAATCTTAACAAATAAGAAATTATTATAAAATACGTTGATTTTAGAATATCATTTATTGCACGTTAAAGAAAAAATTGCAATGTAAATTAATAAATTTCATTTTGCTTATTGCAGCGTTTTTTTTATAAATGCAAGATTATGTACACCATAAAAAAGTCTTTATACTGACTAGAACATATTTGTATTAACTGACTAGCGTTTAAAGAAATTAAATTTGGTTTTAATTTTGTTGTTTAGCCATGCTTGTGTAATACTGTGGACATTCATTTGTTGGAGTAACAGATCTTTCTGTTGTATTTGGCAATTTATTTGGACTTTCGTAACCCTGTGTAGATAAATTTGTGGTAAGTGCAACATTGGTTATGTTATTATATTCAACTTGGCTGTTATCATTTAATAATTTATCCGATTCTCCACATTTAACGTATTGTTGTAATTTGTCTAAATAATTTACTGATGGGGCAACTGGGCTGTTATTATTAGAATTTTCGATATTTTCTAAAAAAAAATTATAAAAATACCCCAAAAAAATTGTAAATATTTTTCTTACCTTCCTTGTCGCTATTTATATTAGCACAAAAATAACTTCGATTATGAATTGCGTTTGTACTTAAATCCAAATAATCAACACCATCAGTTAACATTTTTTCAAATTTATCTGTTAAAGCTTGAAAAGAAGGTCGCTCGTTTGGATCCAAATTCCAACAATTTCTCATCGTTTTGTAAAGCGTTACCGAACAGTTTTCCGGGCGTTCCATTCTATAACCTTGTCGCAGAAAGTTGAACAAATTTTGTACGAGAACTCCGGGATAAGGAGTCGCCCCTAATGTTACCAATTCCCACACCAGGATACCAAAACTCCAAACGTCCGACTTGGACGTGTAGACATGGTCTGATAAAGACTCCGGGGCCATCCATTTCACAGGCACTAAAATGTTTAAGAAAAAAGACTAAAAAATCTAATAAGTTAAAATCATTTGTTTTATGAAGTACTTTTTGATGTTCTTTTTGAAGTGCGATTTAAAAGATAAATTTTCTACTACATTTGCATTGATTACCATAAAGTTTATACGACTCCAGAACAATTCAAGTACTAATTTCTATCGTAAAACTTTATCGTCTTTATTATGAAATGAACCGCAGTGAAATTACATACCTCGGCCTTTACTCCGTTTGAAGTACGCATTGTCTTCATATACGTCTCTGGTTAGACCAAAATCGGATATTTTACAAACTTTTCCCGTTGCCAATAAAACATTTCTTGCCGCTAAATCTCTATGAACCAACTAAAATGTACAATATTTTAATACTTAGGTCGTTAACATAAAATAAAGGTGGGGTTACTTTTATTTCGGCTAAATAAGACATTCCTTTACTAATTTGCCAAGCAAATGAAAGTATATCTTTCGGGAGAATTTTCTCAACCGTTGCATTTGGATGATCGTAATTTAAACTTGGATCATTCTCATCTAGCGATAAAATTCTTGGATGTCGAGTTTCCGGCTTTAAGTGTCTTGATCGGCGGAGATAACTCCTAAAATTGATTACTTTTTATTTGGGTTCTTGTTTGTTTCGGTATAAAACATAAATGAACGAGAAAAGCTATAAATTGATTACCTTAGGGAACCGTATTGGGCAAACTCGATGATTAAATATACCGGTCCTCCGGGGGAAGTACACGCCCCGAGCAACTTGATCACATTAGGATGAGACACGTCTTTCAATAATTCATACTCAGAAAGAAGATCCGCAAGTTCGCCACCGCGAGCGTCTTCTTTTAAAGTCTTCACTGCGACAGTTGTGTGTCCTAAAAAAGAACAATAAATAGAACATTATTTATATAAAAATTTATTTTCGAGATAACTTACCTACTTGACCAGCAATGTCCTTGGCTTTCGCTCGAAGGACCCGTCCAAACTCGCCCTCACCGAGTGTTTGCTCGATGATCAGTTGTCCTCTGGGGAATTCCCACCTCGGATCGGGCTATAACACCGGTGACAATGTGGTGGTTTTAAAATATTAGAGGGAAAAGGGGATGACTATAGGGAAAAGGGAAAATTTTATTACCCCAATTTTGTGCTCCTGATTGAGTGCGGTTATCATGTCGAAATTTAGCTGGAGGCTATCCTGTAGGATACTTCTGTCCACGTAATCGGAGAGAGGAGCTTGCAGATCCTGTGCGTCCTGCGACAATTTTCCTCGGACTCCTTTTTGGGCGCGATCGTGCCTCCAGTATACGACAATCACCGCTACAAATCCCAGGAGAGAAACTACTCCCGAAGCTATTCCCAACATGCACGATGTTCCGCATGGTTGAATTTCGGAGCCTGAAATAAATTTAGAGAACTTCTTGGAGAAAATGTCAGGAAAGTTTAATCGATGAATATCTATGAACGAGACTATTGTATAATTCTATTGGTGCTCATTTACATTATTGATTTCATGTCAAGTTGTTCATATTCGATGAAAGCTTATGGAGATGACTGCGAAATCTAATAGCAGTGAATATCACGGAAGACATGTTAAATACAAAATGTGGTAATTGAATTTTTAACTACTTATTTGATGACATAGGCTAAAGAGTAACCACTTTTATTTTATAAAACGCGTTATAAAATAGAAGGTTTATTTGGTACATTTATTAACTATCGATTTATAATGTGAAACTAAAGTAATAAGAAAAATATGAATGCAATAATTATTTGCGAAGCAAACTTTATACGACGCTTTATCTTTTAAGGCGAAGGTAGAAAATAACCGAGGTCGATTGCGCCCGAGGCGCTACAATAGAGATCAGCAATCAAATCATAATATTTTGGGAAATTGATTAAATATCTAATACTTAATGACTTCTAAATACAATTAGTCTAAAATTAATGACCTTGATATAGATGTAACTATTATATTGGTACCAAGATAATGAAGATTTATAGTTGATTGATAAAAGAGATAACAAACAAGGTCACTTGGGGATGAAATGCTGCAAATAAGAGTGTTATAATAAAGGTTGTAAAATTTTATTGATATTGCCTGTGAGGTTATAGATATAAAGGAATTGCTTTTAACAAGGTCATTTCGGGACAACAAGGTGAACAGCGAAGTATAGAGTTATCCTCTTATTCCTTCTTTACATCTTTTGTCTAGTATAGAATATCAAAAGCGTACAGAGAAACGAATTTAATATCATTGCCAGAAAATACCAGATGGCTAGCAGAGAATAGTAAACAACATTATAACTTAAACCAAAATTGTAAGATAAATATGAATACAATAATTATTTGCGAATTTTATAACAGGCTTTTTCGTTTAAGACGAAGGTAGATAATAACCGAGGGCGATTACGCCCGAGGCGCTGCAATAGAGATCGGCAAACATAAAACATAGTTGAAGTAAATATTAAAATTTTGGAAAATCGATTGAATATCTAATATTTGTTGACTTCTAAATACAATTAGTGTAACATTAATGACCTTGATATAGATGTAACTATTATATAGGTTCCAAGATAATGAAGATTTATAGATGATTGACGAAAGAGATAACAAACGAGCTGACTTGAGGATAAAATGTTGTAACTTTTTGGATTCTTAGCGACTTACTCCAACCTCCCTTCATTCCTACAAATCTAAAAACTCCCCTTTACTAAAACTAGTTAAAAATACACTTTATTATCCACCCCTACCTTCTTTACCTTTAAAATTTATCAAAATAAAATGACATTTACAACAATCAATAAATACGTTTTCATAATTGCGCACCTGTATTATAATATAACTTAGAAGTCGCAATAAACGTTGATCTGCAAGTTTCTTTCTCTCTTCAACAACAAGTTTCGGAATCCATTTGGTTTAATGGTGATAAATGCGCATCGCCTCAGTTGGAAGTTTTTAATTTGTTTTATTGTTTAACGTTAATCACTTTAACTAAATTTGAATGTTGACTTTTACAACACAATTTTGACGCAGTAAGTAATATTTGAACTTCATTTTATTGTAACTTCTATTTAGAAGAAAATTTTTTCGCGTGTCTTTAATAACTAAAACATGTTAGACATGTTAGATTACAACTTTTCATTTATTAATTCAATAACTGGTCAAAAAATGTATCTAATTGAAGCTTACCATCAAGTTATAATAAAGATGGTAAAATTTTATTGATATTACCTATGAGGTTATAGATATAAAGGAATTGCTTTTAACAAGGTCATTTCCGGACAACAAGGTGAACAGCGAAGTATAGAGTTATCATCTTATTCCTTCTTTATATGTCTTGTCTAGTATAGAATATGAAAAACATACAGAGGAAGGAATAATTAATATTTTATTAATATTTTCTCTCAATGATATTAACATTGCCAGAAAATACCAGATGGCTAGCATAGAATAGTAAACAACTGAACAGAGATCTGTAGATGACTGGCAGAGAATATTAAAAACTCGTAGACAAATCTGGATGACTGCAAAAGAATGCCTGATGGCAGGCATTCTGTGTCAGTAAACGACTGATAGAGAAATGCAAATGACTGACGGAAAAAAACCAGATGAATGACAGAAAATGTAAAATAACCTAAGTATAGAGAACTTTACATAACCGACAGAGAATACCGGATGGTTTTGGTATACTTGGTAAAATTGTTTTGACCAGTTTCAACACTACAAGGGTATTAGAAAGAAAATAAGTAAAAAGTAGCTATTTCTTGTTCAGCTATAGAAAGAGAATATAACATATACCTAATATATATTATAACACAAATCAAACCTGCTAGATAAGTAAATACATTACTAAACAAAAATGAGAATCCAATGCGTTCAAAATAATTTGAAAACCGACTCATCAATGCAAATAAATTTCACTGTGAATAACATGAAAACAAAAATAATACTTTATAATTAAAGAAAAGTTGCAAGAAACAAACTTACCGAAGCAAATTTAAATTTATTTAAATTATAAGAGAAACGACTTTCTGAAAATGAGAATTTTGAAACAATAAAATTTGCAATTTGGAACGCAATTACAACATCCAGTCTAATTTTTTGGTTTATGTAAACATTTCAAAAACAAAATACATTTACTTTATGATTCGTAATTATATGTACCTGTGTAATTAGTGTGTTGTTAGTAAACATCCATAATTATTACCCAAACAGGATTATTAAACAAATATTAGCTTAAAAATTATTACAATTGTACATTTTTTACAATAATTACTTTGATGTTCACATTACTTCTAATTGAATGATAACACTACATCTACGAATTTTAACATGTAATTTCCTTGTCTAAACAATTTTGTGATGCAAGAAAACGAAGTTTAAGAAAATATAGCGAACAGGAGTAGGAAGTTGTAGTTGAAAAGTTTTAATAAGCAGTTTTAAAAAGTACTATATAAAATTATCCCTTGTGGTTTATACTAAAAGTTAATCATTTTATGAATTAATATTGTACTAGAATAAATAATAAACGTAATATGTAGGTGGATGCTAAAAAAAAGTATTAACTAAATATTAAAGATAAAAGGACTGTGTGTGAAATAAAGCAAATAACAGTAATTAAAAACAAATCAATTAAGAGAAAATTAATTTAAATATTATAAAAAATGGAATTAAAACGAATTACATAAAGAGTAATAATAATGTTGATAGAAACAATTGTGTAAATGAATGAAAATCAGTTGTCTGGGGCAGACATCGTTCAGGTGAACCCAGTTGGAAAATTCTCAATTTTCCCAGCGTGCGTCGCTCCGGTCAAGCGTCGGTAATGAAAACTAACTCGCATGCGGCCAGTAGATTTTCATTTGGGCGATTTATCGAACCGGGCAAGCGGTTAATCCGATTATTTTTTAATCGCCCTTCCAAAACTCGTTGCCATCCAACGCAATGGCTAGTTTATTACAGGCAAAACAGGTAATTAACCGATTATTCATACCATTCCCTCGATTGCTGATTGTTTACGTGATCGCTAAAACGATTTATGACCATTTTCTTAATAAACCCCCGCGCACATAAATAAATCCATCGAAAAGTCAATGGCCGTCAAAGTCGCCCGCTTAGAATGCGATTTTTAACCTCGCATGTTCCCCAACTGCACGTTAAATTGTCCAACTTATCAAAGAAAATCGCCTGCGCTGTCCGAGGCGGACCCTTTTCACCATTGAAATATGGCACGCGAGACCGTAGATGCATATCTTCGGCTGCACTTGCAAGTTTTTACCTGTTATCAATAATGGCAGTCTACGACCTATCAACGTGAGAAATGCTATATAACAACGCATTTCTTCTTCACCACGGTTACCGGAAATGCGACGCCGACAAAACCGAATTAAGTTATACATCACACTTACTTGGATGTTTCCCGATATGAGGGGAACTCTTCGTCAAATTGCTTTCATGCTGTTGTAATGGAGTTATCGTTGTCGTTGTTGTCTTGTGTTTCTTTTTCGGTAGTCTTGTTTCACAAAAACATTCCGCGTTTATATCACAGGTACAAACACCACTTGCTCTTCCGATTCCATACCCAGTTTCTTCATTTTTAGGTGTTGATAAAGACATTCTCTCTAAATCAATAAAAAATATTATAAATTTAATTATGTATTTAATTATAGTTACACCTCGATATAACCGATTATAATTATCTATTTAATACATCAGTATATTTAAATAAAAAATTTTGTGTTCATAGATAAAATCCAACTCGAGTTATTCCCCAAGTTGCTCTATTATATGTTTATAGATAAATTCGGGGTATTCCCCGAGTTGTTTATACGATGTATAAATCAAGAACGGTAGTTTTAGTTTTAATTATTGTTCAGCGCTAGATTGTTGTATATTTGTGTTAAACTAAAAGTAGAACTAACTCCAGACCTAGAACTAGAAACATTCAGGTATAGCCGTACGTCTCTTAAGACAGTTTAGTAAAAATAAACTACAATTTAGCACTGAATAACAATTAAAACTAGAACTAACACTAGACCTAGAACTAGAAACATTCGGGTTTAGCCGTGAGTCTCAAAACGGCTAAACCCGAATGATTCTAGTAATAAGTCTTGTGTTAGTTTTAGCGATAATGCTAGTGCAAAACTAGAAGTAACACTAGACCTAGAACTAGAACCACTCAGGCTTAACCGTGCGTCTTTCAAGACTGTTAAACCCGAATGATTCTATTTCTAAGTCTTGTGTTAGTTCTAGTGACATTGCTAGGTAGCGCTAGTTAGCATTAGATATCTCTGTGTTGCATATTTTTATTGAATTAAAACTAGAACTAACACTAGACCTAGAACTAGAAAGTTTCTAGACTAGAATATTTCTAGTTCTAGGTCTAGTATTAGTTCTAGTTTTGCACTAGCACTATCACTAGAACTAACAGAAGACCTAGAACTAGAACTATTTGGGTTTAGCCGCCTTGAGAGACGTGCGGCTAAATCCGAATGTTTCTAGTTCTAGTCTAGTGTTACTTCTAGTTCTAATTGTTATTCAGTGTTAGATTGTTTATTTTTATTGAACTAAAATACACTAGACCTAGACTAGTGTTACTTCTAGTTTTAATTGTTATTCAGCGCTGACGTCACGAACGTGCCTTCTAACTTTGCACCTATTCCTGGAATGTAGCAGTCCTCTAAGATTCTAACGTTCTTGGTATAAATATAAAACCACGTAGACTGAACGCAACGGTGTAGATAGTTGCCCGATTTTTTATGCATTAAAATACATTATATAACAAATTATAACATATTAAGGCGTATTAATCCGTTATATCGAGGTTCTACTTTATTTAGATACAACCTGCACAATCTTGGGGACATATCAAGGGATATAACTGTTCTAATTCATCGCAGTGTTGGTCGGGACAATGTGGAGGACCTGGTGAACAAGTTGAATAATTTCCTAACTTTGATGTTACCCAAAAACATCGAGATNACTATCACTAGAACTAACACAAGACCTAGAACTAGAATCATTCGGGTTTAGCCGTCTTGAGAGACGAACGGCTAAACCCGAATGTTTCTAGTTCTAGGTCTTGTGTTAGCTCTAGTTTTGCACTCGCACTATCACTAGAACTAACACAAGATCTAGAACTAGAATCATTCGGGTTTAGCCGCCTTGAGAGACGTGCGGCTAAATCCGAATGTTTCTAGTTCTAGGTCTAGTGTTACTTCTAGGTCTACTGTTTCAAGTTCTAATTGTTATTCAGTGTTAGATTGTTTATTTTTAATGAACTAAAACTAGAACACTAGACCTAGAATAGTGTTAGTTTTAGTTTTAATTGTTATTCAGCGCTGACGTCACAAACGGGCCTTCAAACTTTGCAGTCCTCTTAGATTCTAACGTTCTTGATATAAATATAAAACCACGTAGACTGAACGCAACGGTATGGATAGTTGTCCGAATTTTTATGCATTAAAATTATACGTATAACAAATTATAACATATTAAGGCGTATTAATCCGTTATATCGAGGTTTTACTATATTTAGATACAACCTGCACAATCTTGGGGACATATCAAGGGATATAACTGTTCTAATTCATCGCAGTGTTGGTCGGGACAATGTGGAGGACCTGGTGAACAAGTTGAATAATTTCCTAACTTTGATGTTACCCAAAAACATCGAGATTGCTTATTATAAAAATCCCTGCAAAACAAAAATGATTGTTTGGTATAACTTTTTGAAATTAACCAACTTTTCTTACTTAGCCAAGTTATTTACTGGACCACCTGTGGCTAACCCACATTCCTTTTCACAACTTGCGGCATTTTCCTTTTCAGCACAATGAACCCAATCATTAATATCCGATGTTTTACCCAAACAAGAGTTTGACTCGATAATGGATATCGTTATATTTTCACTTTCTTTTGTATTATTCCGTTTCCATTCAACAATTAATCTATTTTTAACAATATTATTAAACATTATTATAAAATTTTTTAGCTTTTTTTAACTTACTTAATGGGATCTTTTATTTTCGTTAAATTATTACTATCAAGATAAATTATACCCGTTCGATTTGTAATGGCAACAACGCGATTGGGATCGTTAAACCTTTTTTTGATTCGAAAATTGGTTGGATTCCATCGTTTTAATTTAGGATCTGGCTCAGTAATTCGAACGAAAGGCGCTGCTGTTCTGGATTTGAATAAAAATAAATTAGATTTTTTTAAAATAAAATTAATTTTGTTTTACCTAGAAATTTCAAAATGCGTGCTTGGATATAAAATGGTATTTTCCGCCGGTTTCGGTTGATGAAGTTCTTTGTCTTTCTTCAAAACGACCTTAATCTCAATCGGCTGTTCGATCTAGGGGAAGTGTAAGAATGGGTTTTAACGAAGTGTACTTAATACTACTTATACCAAGCAACTTTAAGTGCAGTTACAGGGATGGCGGAAATTAAAAATTCATCGCGTGACGTCGCAACACCATATTCAACCCCCGCGTTCATTAAAAAACTATGACACCATTTGCAAGTCTAATGTCAAACAACCTCTCACATCCCTCTATTAATGAAATCCCGCTTCATTATATTTCCCGCAATTACTAACGAATAATTCATGCCTTAGCAAAAAAATCGCAAATACTTTTTTTTATTTCCCGGAAATAAACCGTCAGTTGTTACATAACGAAAACAGAAAGTTTACGCAAAACAAATAACAAAAAAATTAAATATTAATTAACACATCAAGTTTAGACCGTTTATGGTACATTTAACCTTAATTAAAAGGTGAGAACACAAATTGCGACAAAACTTTAACAAGGTGTTAACCGCCTGTTTAGACGCCTGTTAAGTTTTCGCTAAGTTGAGGAGGGCGAAGTGATATATTTTCTCTTCTAAGTATTCCGGGTAAGGTTTACAACGAGTTGTGCCGACGAGCCATCTTCCCGGAAGTTTGCCGAGCTCCCGGATTCAAAGGTAAATACTCCTGGATCGACGACGGCGGTTTAAATCAGATAGTGTCCGTAAAGTTTCCGGAGAAGGATGACAGTCGCAAACTCAGTTTAAAAAAGAATAAATATTAAAATCACTTACGATACTCTTTCCATATCCAGGCAACAACGTCGTATCATTAACAAGTAATACCACGGTATAAGTTGTGTTGTATTCTTTTAAACTTTTCGTCACAATCAAATCTGTAAAGAAATTTAACAAATATATATAAAAAAATAATTAATAAGAAAATAATGGAATTCAGTTCATTAGAAAATATTTAAATATTTATTTGACCTTTAGAACGCAAAATTCTGCGAATGGTGCTATATATCAAAGGGGCACCTACATTAGCGGCACCGTTGGGTGTATTCCAGGAATACGAATAATTATGTCATCGACTAAAACGGAGGTTCCAATCACAAACATTGTACTTTATTTAAACGTAGGATTAAAAAGCGTTTACATGGAGCACTTCTATCATAATAAACAATTGTAATATGTAAGGAACAAAGCCAACGCGACATACATAGGTAATAAACCTTCTAGAAAATATTTCTCATTTTCCGTCAAAAAGGTAACCGTTTGCCTGTCAGAACAGCGCGCTTTCTATGAAACTGAAATTAAACTTGCGATTGACGGTGCCGACTTCGCCAGGTCCCATGGGGCGAGAAAACCCGTGAGCTTACCGCATTTGAAAACGGTCTGGTGTTCGCCGTGACGGTCGTCCTCGCCCTCTTTGCACTCTTGCCGTAGAAAGGAGGTCCCGTTTCCAGTGAGTTTCGTCCTATAGACATTCACTCCCTTTGAATCTCTGTCGTAGAACATCAACGCTTGGCTGTTCTGTACTCCGGATAGAAGAGAGTGATTCTTTGAGAAAAAAAGGAAATTTGTTAGTTTAATCATGTTTCGCTACTAGGTGTACTTTATATTTATATTATATGCACATCATTTTCTTTGGGGAATACAAAGTAACATCAAATACTTAATAACTTCAAATATATTGAGATATTTTCTCAAAGCTGATATATAGAAATTACAGTGGCACAATGAGTGGGAATATACTCCCATCAAGAACGTCGAATGATAATTTTATTTTAATCAAAGCTATGATATTTAAATATGTTTAAGTAGTTTTGTTTGCCAATAAGAACCAACGCTATCGGACCCTCTTCATTCATGAGTTCATCTTCATATCTAAAAATGTCTCAACGCAACCTCAAAGCAATATATTTATCCCATTTGATTGATCTAATCATTAACCTGATTTGATTGTTTCACTGTAACCTTATCTTGAAATAAATCATTCAAAAAATCTAAATCCAACCACATCCTCAACCCACGGATGTCTAAATCAATCACCATGATATGATCTACAGTTGTAGAGCATCTATTTAGAGATTTGTGGATATTTTGCTTTATAACTAGTTGGGATGAAATTGTTTATGGATTATGATTTAATGATTTGTTATGAACAAATCATATTAATATCATTCTCATCCACAGTTTTTAATTTATTAAATAAAAACCATTTGGTTGAAAAAACAACAAATTTGAAATGGCAAGGTTTTTAGATCCGTTAGGTTGGTAATAATCATAGTTATATTATAATAGCTTACGGATATCATTTGTTAGTTCATTATAAACATATCTCAACCACAATATCATTAAAATAGTTTTCTAGTTATAATAGAAATGTTTAATCAAAAACCTCAATCTAGTGAGTTTGGGATTTTATGGTCCATGATTAAAATGCAACCTAGTTGGAAAAAAATTGTTTATGGATTCTGTTTCTATGATTTATTATGAACAATTTTTATTAATATCATTCTCACCTACAGTTTTTAATTTTCAAGTTAAAAACCATTTTGTTCAAATCCTTACAAAACTTACTAGGTTTTCGATTTTTAATACGTAATAGTCAACTAACATCAATTAGTGGATTATCTTACGATGAGATAATCCACTAATTGATAGAGATAATAAAGTACAATTAGACTAGATACTGCTTGCAAAAGATTAAATATCGCTTGCAGAAGACTAAAAACGTTCAATAAAGACATTAGAACCTGTACGAAGAAGACTAAATATCAAATTCTGCAGGTCAAAGGTAAGGTACCTACTGCTAATGGAAGAGATTCCAATAGAAGAAAAGGGACTGTTTGCAATAGACTTGAAATGAACCTCGTTTTCAAAAGGCTACAGTTGGCAGAAAAGTAGATACTACTTTAGATGCTGCTGACAGAACACTAGATACTGCTGCCATAGAACTATACACAGTTTGTGCTAATAGATTACTTAATGACGCTGACAGAGAGCTAGATACTACTTCCAAAAGAGTAGATATAACTTACAGAAAATTAGATATTGCCAAAGGTAAAGTCTAACCTGCAAGTAAACTAGAATTTGTTTGTGGATGGCCAGATTCTGCATTTAAAATACTAGAAATTGCTAGTAAAGGACTAGATACTAAATCCTGCAAGTAGAAAACTAAACAATGCTAATGCAGGAGTGGATGGTGCGAATAGAACTGAATCTACTGCTTGTAGTGACTTGAAATTACTTACATAACACTATATAAGACTAAATATCGCTTTCAGATGACTTGATACTACTGATAGAAGACCGAATACACTTGTATGAGGACCAGATACAACTGGTAGGAGACTACCCTGCTAATCGACGGCTATACGTCTTTCTTAAATGAACAATTTATAAAAAAAGCAGATAATCTATATGAATGGTGGAGGTATAAATACTGCAGATATTAAATAGAGTTAGTAGGAGACTGAAAACTACTAATGAAGGACTAAATACTGCGAATAGAACTACAATGAGGACTTCTAAAGCTAAGATGTAATCGCAGCAACGCCTCGGCTGCAAGCGATCTCGGTTTTATTGTCTCAGCATTGGAGATAAAACCACGCAACTTGGTCATACAAATAATTACTTATACTAAGCTATATACTAAAACAGCGAAGATATATTTTGTATAGTCGCGAAAGATTGTAGTTAAAGCGCTACGATTAGAACCCTTAAAGATAAAATCTCATTAAGGTAACTTAATCATTTTGGGATTTTATGGTTCATTACTAAAAATGTAAAATAGTTGGAAAAAATGGTTTATGGATTATGTTTTTATGATTTATTATAAACATTTTTTGTAAACATTATTCTCCATTATAGTTTTTCATTTTTGAATTATAAGCCAGTTTGTTGTAAATGCCAGGTTGGTAAGAATCACAGTTATTTAATAATCCCTTTATGATATCGTTTTGTTGGTTCATTACGAACAATCCATCCACAATTTTTTCTTCTATTACGTCAATTTTCGTCAAAAACCTCAATTTAACGTTTTTGAGATTTTGTGGTTTATTACTAAAAATGTGAAATACATAGTTGAGAAGCAATTATTAATAGATTGTGTTTTTGTGCTATGTTATGAACAATTTAATTAACATCATATACATCCACAGTTTTTAATTTTTGAGTTAAATACTGAGTTTGTTGTTAATTACGTTAAATTTCATTTGTTTGGGATTTAAAATACACTCGATTAATAATAATCACTGTACGGGTATTGTTTTAATGGTTTATTACAAACAATTGTCGTCAATTATTAAAAATTAAAAGTTCAAAAGTTAATAATAAAAGTTCAAAATGTATGGATAATATGTTTGAGGATGAAGGACGTCAAAGAAGGGGAATTGTGGAAAACGATGAGAATTACCCTCCTTTTCTCGATGGGTAATTGATAGAAAGAATACAAGGGGTCAAAGTTGGGGAAGATTGTAAAAGTTGGGGAAAAGAAATTGCAAAGTGGACAGACAGGGGCGTATTTTCGGGTTAAGGACACATTATGAGAAATGTTTTGAAAAAGAAAGGGATTTTTACTAATTCTATTTTTTAAATATACCATATGCTCGTAAGAATGTATGGATTTTATTTCTTCCCTTAACGTTATTGTGTATATAAGTTCAAATACGCATAGTCAGTGTACAGTTAAATATGTTTTTAGCTATAAGCATACTAGCACTAGTTGAAACTGGCACAAAAGTAAACAAGTATAACAATCACCAGACCAAACAATAAATACTTAAATAAATAATGCAGTTTTATTGAGGAGGCATTTTATAACAATAAATAAATATGGATCTATAACAATAAGCTTTAATCCATAATAAACGAGAAGAAAGTTTTAAATATTTTTTCAAATAATCAAAGTTTCGATAATCTGGATCAAGTAAAACCGGGGTAATTATTTAAATATGTGTGCTTACGAGGAAATAAAAGAAAATGCTTTCAATAAACAAACACGTATCGTATTTGAATTTATTGTTCATCATTTATTTTATGTTTGAACTTTTTAACTTCATCATTTATCACCTTTTATTTATACATAATCAATATTATTACCAATCAATTTAGTTTTAATTTTGAAAACTACAATAGGATGAATTCGTATTATAAAGAGATTATAATTTGATATTGCTACAATAAATGTATTAATTATTAAATTCTATGAAATAGTTGGATTTATTAGGATGATATTCTATGCAATTATATTCTAATTAGATAGAGGATACATAATACCATATCAAAGCTATTTCTGTAATGATATATTATGGGTGTTCCCTGTCTATTATACTACATGCATGAATACACATTGTATATAACAGAATATAATATACGTTATAACAGGTTTCAATAAATAATTTTTAATAACACATTTCTAATTTATCCCATGATGAACAATCACAATATCCTAGTTGATTATTTATGACAAAGATCAACAAACTGCATATTATACTAAAATGTGTTTTTCAGAAACAATTTCAATGCGCTCACAACACCGTGCTTTTAAAAGTGAATTCAAAAGAATTATTAGCTGGTTAACAATGCCTAGTCACATTTGTGTTTTACTTTTTATATTTATGAATATTTTTAAAAATGGTGGATGCGCCGGAAGTTGAATTTTTTCACTTTATTTTCCTTTAAAATTATTCAAACGTAACTTTTTAATATCTTTTCAAATTCAATTCATCATATTTCAAAAACCGTCCCATCAAATTAATATCTTCAATCAATAGGTTTCCGCGAAGTTAAATCGGACCGTTTTCGAGCTTTCTCAATAATTTCCATTCGTCCTGAAAATTTGCACCTGCTCGTCTCTTACCCTGTTATTACTTGTGTGAAACTTTTCAATTGAATTTAACTTCCGTCCGCCTACCGGGCGACTTCCAGAAGAACTAGCACCATTAAGGGCATCGTTGCGCTCATATCTGCGGCTGTAATTGTAATTTATTGGCCGTGAGGTTCGCAACTGGTACGTGAAAAAAATAACGATTCGTGGAGAGAAACTACGCTGCATGGTGTTGTTTATACGCCACTTGGACGGTGTTTAAATTAACGGCAAATTGGTAGTTTTATGGATCGTAGTCGGGTGCTGGTCGATATTTATGTGGTAGAAAATTGCGGTTCGCGATTTAATATCTTTCTTCGTGATGGTATGGGTTGAGTGTGTAGGGTTTATTTTAAATTATTTTCAAAGTTATGTATATTGAGGCTTTTCAGCTTTACGCACATAATATTTTTCTTTTCACTTAACCACAAGAATAAATAACAATATTTTACTATACAAATAACACATAAATGTAAATATAACGTAATGTGGGCAAAAATAAAAGATAAACATAAAACAAATGTTACTCGTTGTTTTAATTTTATTATCCAACTGGGGCATTGTTTTCGATTGTAATGGTCAAATAACGATCTGTTTTAAATATAAACACAATGTTAAAACAATGTAAATAATTTTGTATGGAAAATGTCGTACATTGTACATTTTACATATGGTGTTCTATAAAATTTCGTTCCGCGTTGTTGGAATTTTCATTTCCGCGCAATTTTAGCACTTGAGGATGCTTTCACGCTGACCGGAGGCCAGCGAACTGTAAAGTGCTTGCCCCATTAACTAAAACGAAGGTGAGCGTTCTTGCGATCGGACGCGACTCAAGTGCAGGCGTTACAAACGTATTTTATGGCCCGCTTCCTTTGAGGGATTGATCTCTTACGGTTTTCAGCGAAGCTGCAGTTTAAGTTTCTATAGCTTTTGGTACCGGGACGGCTTTGTCCCATATTTCACTGAGAGGATCGTTTGAAGTTTCTAGTTATCTTTTAGCTTTGCTTTACAAACGTAGAGGACAGTGTTGTCCTGTAAAATAACTGAATGCTTCGTTGGAACGTCTTTATAAAGAAAATTCTTGTTTCAAGCTTGCTTTCAAATCTACATTTAACAAAAACTAACGCTTACCTTTATAATAGAAGCCTTTTCGACGGTTATTCTAACGATGCTGTTATTACGTGTGAACGGAACGTTGTCGTCCTCGTCCAGAACCGTGACGCTCAATGTCTTTGTTACGTTACGCTTCGTGCCCTTTGGGTTGACAAGATTACAGCCAACGGTGATATTCACCACCTGGCCAATACCGAAACTTCTGGTGATGGTGTTGTTTCTGGAAACGTCACGGTCTAGAGATCTCGTCGTCTTCAAACCCCAAGTTTTGTTAAGGTCCGTGGGCGGAATTAGCGAAAAGTGGGAAGAACCTGAAATAAAATAAGAGAAAATGAATGCGGCGGCTTCGTTAAATTCTCTTTGATCTCGGTATTGTCACGGCACGAATAAATATTAGAAAAAAAATCATAAAAATGGTGAAACATCGCCTATTCGCTAAAAGGGCCTTGTTGAAAATAACGAATGTAGCAGTTACTGCACCGACTATAAAATGAAAAAAAAATAGCCAACGAAAAAATTCCGGATTATTTTTTTCGTGGATTTTTTACATCCTACCACTACCGACGTTATCCAAAATGACCATCAAGGGATGAAGTGATTTATTTATTACTGGGTCGTCCGGGAACGCCACGGGATTCTATGCAATGTTGGGTCATTTTTCTGGGGAGTATAAATCGTGACGGACACAGTCGGTGACTACATATGTCATTAATAAACCAACTATTTAAATTACAAGAAAGAACTAATTTTATAAATTAATAACACTCAAAAACTATATACTGAATGTTCAGAACGATTTTTACGTTTAATTTAAAGTAATTACAACAAATTACACATTTTTTAAGAAACAAAATCGTCTGTAAGGCAAAACAAAAAAAAAAGAATTATGAAGTGAAATAAAAATTGATTTTGGATAAGCCAATGCTATCTGGACTGGCAACGTGAGGATATTTCAAAACTTGGAAGTTATATAAAAAATTAAGTTAGGTAGATGAAGTTTTAAGAAGGTTTAAAAATTTAAGGTTAAAAGTTCACACAAATATAAATAATATAGTTGCGTTCAAAATGTAATTTTCGTTGAACGTCTCTAGTTAATATTGTAGTGAGAGAAGTTAGAAACATTTTGGAAAATGTATTAGGAAAATTAATATTAAGATGGTTACTGAAGAATTTATCAAAAAACAAACTCTTCGGAAATGCTAAAGTAGCAGTTGTCACATCAATCCTTCCAACTTTGTCTTAACTTCATCCATTATCCTAATTTTTTATCTTAAAAATTCTACTCTTTCCACAATAATTTATGTATTGTGCTTAAAATAACGTAATTCTCATAGATCGTTTTAAGTTCGTTGTCGCAGTTATTTCCGTGGTACAATTCTGGAATCTTTTCCGCAATTGTAGTTAGTACTTCGAGTTATTCCTCATTATAGTAGTATCATCAAAGTAGTCTAGGAGGCCATTCACATTTATCCAATACGAATCTTTCATGAAAATTCGTTAGATACCTTTACCTTAGATCCTTTTATAACGTGGATAATCTCTCTTGGGAAAGTTCATATCAATTTCACTCTTTCTTGTATTGGGAAGATATCCAAAAGTTGTTTATGTCGTGTTGTAATTTAACCAATGCACCTATATGATGTACAGCCTTCACAACGGTTTGTATTGCTGGGAGAAGTAGTTTAGTGCCGGTTACTAAAGTTTGTTGAACGATTTAGAAATATCGATGCCTCCTGTACCTTCCTGTATCTTTCCATAACTTCCGTTCCTGCACGTATATTGTGCAGATTACAGTCCTCAATTATTTTATCTACACGTCTAAAATCTTTCACATAGTAGTTCCACTGAAAATTTTCCTAGAAAACAAAGCAGGCAGATTGGTGTATAGGATTTAGAAATGGTAGGATCCCTTGTCTTAGCCATTTTATATTACAACCCATTCTGCTTGCTTGTATATCAAAGACAACTTTCTCTGCTGCAGACAGGGAAATAGACACACATTATAGAAGACACATTATAGAGTTGCATCAGCACTGAAGATATTTTCCTCTCTTTTGAAGATATAACACCTCGTCTTAAGTAATATCTCGTTATTCTTGTCCCATTGCTCTCATAGAAGCTCTCAGCTGCCTTTTGTTGGTCTAAGTTATCGATGTTCGAAATAACACCAGCTCTCCTCTAATACGTTGCCTGAAATTGCACTTCTTAGAAGGATAGAAATTAAAAAGGTTCGAGAGAAAAGTATTCAGAGATTGCACCAGATGAATGGAAACAATACACTGTAAGGGACTCCTCCGAAGGATGGATTAAAGAAAGAGCAAATAATCTTCAAGTACCACCAATCACAAAGTCTGTAAAACACCGTCGTCTTTGATTACATCAACGAAAGCTATGTTTTTTTTTGCATTATGTACAAATATGGCAGGACCCAATTATAAATATACAGGGTTTCACACAAAAAACGCCCCAAGCTGTAACTCTGTCATTTATATTCCGATTTTCATGACCGAGGTATCAAATGAAATTGTTTGATGAATACTATGGTTCATGCTACAAATAAATTTTTTTCAACGCCATCTTCAATTTTAAGCGATTTTAACTTTTGTTTTTCAAATTGCTCCATATATTTGTCTTCACGTCATTAGATAGAGATTGTTTTTCTGAATCCACTGATGTGCAATACATCCAATTTGAATGTAATTTTAGCAGAAAAAAGACACCTGTATATACAGGTTGTCGCACAAGAACGCCGTAAGCTGTAACTCTGTTATTTACCTTCCGATTTTTATGAACGAGGCAACAAATGAAATGGTTTGATGAATGCTATGATTCATGCTACAAATAAACTTTTTCCAACGCCATCTTCGATTTCAAGCGATTATTAACTTTTGATTTTCAAATTGCTCGGTATGTTTTTCTTCACGTTATGGGATAGAAATTGTTTTCTGAGCCCATTGATGTACAATACATTAACATTAATTGTAATTTTAGCAGAGAAAAACAATTAAAACATTTTCCGAACATTGTCATAGTCACTTCTGTAATACTGCAGTGTGCCATGGAAAAAAATAACACGCAAAACTGATAACAGTCATTAAATGCTATTTCAATGCCCAAGCAGTTGTAAATGATACTTATAAGTTGGTTTTTCATTTATTTTTTGTATATTAACTTCCGAGATATACATACACTTGTTCTTTCACTCTTTCTCATTACTGCCATCATGAGTGATTTGAAATCATAGACGAGTAAATTCCACCGAGTCTCGAGAAAGTTTAGGACAAGGTGACAGAATACAATGGTCGGTATATCGAACAGTTAAGCATATTCGATCCAGTTTATGTGGAATTGAATTTTAAATTTCGTGTTAATGTCAAATTAATTTTTTATTCATAAAATAAAGCCAATTTTAGTCTCAAGTCTCATACAACTTTAGCAACTATTCTAACGTCCTATTTTCGAAACAACATTTCCAACCGTACTGATCTCCTAATAATTCAAAATTCTGGTGTTATTTTCCAGAATATTTTTCCGGATGACCAATCAAACAACTTTCCAATTTAATAATAATCAACCTTTTCTATAATAGCTGGTACAGAGCGAGATAAAATATCTGCAATAACATGCTTTTTATCCTTTCGATGTTTTATGGTAAATGAAACTAAAAGATAATATGACTAGATTCTATGGTAGTTACTATCATCGGATTGATAATCTAACTAGTCGACTACTTAAGATGATGATGTGGCTTCGATGCACTCGGATCTAGATATCTTGGTGGAATGGTGCGATCGTAATCAGCTCAGGATTAATATGGAGAAGTGTAATATCACTTTTACACGATCCCTTCATACTACTCTTTAGGTGGAATCTCGCTGCTTAAGTTGACTTCTGTCAGAGATCTGGGAGTAAATTTTGATAGCAAACTATCGTTTATACCGCACATGGAGGATGTCGCTTCTTGTGGTGCGACGATGCTTGTGTTTGTGTTCCGTACTTCACGTTTATTTACGGATTCTGTAGTATACATATCGCTTTTTCGGCCGCTTCTTCTGCCGAGACTGGAGTATACAACACATTATATCTCGCATCGTCTTCCATTGGAGAGACTAACACTGACTAACAATCTTTGTTGCAACGTCACCATTTTTCTTCGCTTGACACTCGAAGGGATGATCTAGACGTTAGAATTATTATAAAGCTGGTGAGTGGTGAGACTGATTGTAACTGGTTACTCTCTTGCATCAACTTCAGTACACCCAGCCACACTACTTGATACAGCGGTGTCTTTCATTTGAAGAATAGTAGAACCAACGTGCAAGTTTGTATTTCTGTATAGTATAATATTGCCCTGTAATTGGTACTTTGTTGAGCAATAAAGATATATTACTATTATTATTATTATCATTAAGCCAAAAAATAACGCTTTATTATGACCTTAAAATGACTTTTTCATGGCCCACAGAAAAATAGAGCATTCTTTCTCTCTGGTACGCGATTTACTTTCTTCAATCGTTTAAAATCTACTCATAAAACAAATTTCTTATCAACCTCCAGCTCTTATCACCACACTCATACCAATGTCCAAATTCTTGGCTAAACCCAGGCGGCGCCTAATCGCAACCTTTTTTGTGGGTTTTCACTAATTTTCAAATAATGACTTCAAGCGATTTGCGATTTCGGAAAAATGGAAATATTGCCGTTGAAGAAAAAAATTCGATTTCATTAACACGCACTCAGAAGAGAGCTCTATAAATTAATTATTCCAAGTTAAATATTAGTCACAGCACAATATTGAAAACCACATTTAATGAGTTCCAGCTCTGCTGCCTTTTAATTTTCCATCACGAGCTCTATTTGCGTACTAGGCATTAAGTAAACTTATTGAAAAACATTTTCAAATAACATTTTAGTTCATTAAATCAAAATCTACATAATAAACACTGGTGAGTCGATGAAATTCGGCATCAATATAAATTTTGGTGAAACGTATGGATTGTTGTAGTTAATGATTATTTGATTGCTCTGTATTTTTGCGGATTCGGTTAACTGGAAAATGTTATGAATTTTATTGAAAAATGAACTTCTCAATGATATAAGAAGACACATTTATATGACACATCATTTCATCTCAATCGTGCTCTAATATTTCAAAAATAATTTTTCAAATCGGTGGATTGGTTGAGGAAATAATCATGTGTGGGCTCTTCAATCGCCCGATTTAAACCCTATCGATTTTTTTATGTAGGACACGTAAAAAAACATTGGTATTAAAACGCCAATTAACTATATGGAAAAGTTAACAGAACGGATTTTAAAAAAACACCAACATTTTTCACCATTTTTGAAGAGGCGTAGTAGTTCTGTAGATAAATTAAACAAAACATTTATTTTTTAATCTTGCCTATTGGGAGGAGTTACAAGTCGTAAATTGCTTACGCATTTATAAATGTGAGACAAATTTAAAAAGGAGGTGATTAAATATTATTGGTAATAGGTTAGATGCAGTAAAATAAAAAATAACTGTAGCGATTTAATTATTCGTAAAAATTGAAAATACCATAAAAATTCAATTTTATTTAAAATTTATTTAAAAACAAAGGAATTTTATCGGAACTTTCATTGCTGAAATAACAATTTGAGTATTTGCGAATACTCAAACAGTATTTTTATCGAATGTAAAAATTGAACAAAATTGATATTGAAAAAATAATTTAATTTGTCATTCCTTATTAATAGAAGGTGAAAGCTTGGATGCAAGCTGAGGTCTGTGCGATAAATAAACAGCACGACTCAACGAGCAAGAAACGTAATTAACCCGCTTTTCGTAGCAAGAAATTCAGCCTCGAAAGATATATAGGGGTTTGGCGAATAAAGCGGGTAGTTGTCTTTGATTTATAACGGTTACGGCGCGCGTTAAAAGATGCCCCATTAACTGAGACGGCCTACAGCGTCGATATTAAAAATTAATTTTCCGAATTTTCGCGAGAAATTTATTTATAAACCCGACACGTGTTCCGCGACGCGCTCAACCTAATCCCGAACTCTTATTAAAATTTCAAACTTTCAACGTTGCTTCGGGGTTATGGAGATTGCCTTACAACATCCGAAGAGAGTTCGGAGGCCTTATTAACTCAAGGAGATGAGGTTAAGGACCGCTTTCCTCCTAACTTATTGTTGTTGCTTCTTATTTTAACCAAAGACAATCAAGATTAATTTATGAACTAACGTAGTTTGTAGATTTTACGAATTCCACTCAAACTGGAGAGTTTATGTTATGGGTGATGGGGAATTCAGGATCATCCTCAGTTGGATGAATCGTGACTGACGAATCTTCAATATTCAGATGGAAAGGGAATGGGGATGGTTAAACTATGCAATGTATTGGATGTTCGCTACTAGGAATGTGGTAGGCTTGCGTGGGGAGAATTTACGGTTGCCCTGAGGTCCATTATGCATTTGAGAGCAAAAAAAAGCACACATAGAGCTTCGTCGAAATAGGACGCTCTGAACGTAAAGGGATTAATTGTTACATTCGCTGGCAGTTTCCTAGTGGAAACTTCTACCTCTTAAACGAGAATTTCGTATTTTATATTTTACATTTTTAATTTTATTTTATTAAAAAAAAATTGAGTTTTATTATACCTTTATACTTATAATTAAATGCATTTTAATACCAATATTATCCCTTTTTCAATATTAATTTAACCCCGTCGACTTGAATTCAAAGATAACATTAACGATTCCCTTACAGAAAATCTTGGAAAGCTCACAGCTTTCCTCGAATAATCTTATCGGGTTAAGCTCGACTAACGGCAACGGTCCACGTCCCGGGCATAAATTAACTGGAAAAAGTAAAATTCTCACCGTTTATCAAGGTGTAGTTGATTTTGTAACCTGGGCACATTTCGACCAGGTACGCGGAAGACAAAGAGCCGATTAAGCTCGGTTTGCGGTTCTCGAACACCCGGTATCTAACCGATTTCCAAAAGCACAAATCGGCGGTTATAAGGTCGCAGTCGACGACGTCTGCTGGCAGGATGTTGACTTGGAACGTGGTTTTGTCCTGGCGAAGACTGTCGCTTGCGAACACTGATGTCCTCACTTCGGAGATATCTGCAAGTGGAAAAGCAGAACGTGTGTTTTAACAAAAGGAAATTAAGGACATATCGATAATAAGATCTTATTTAAACCCATCGTGTTGTATAAGAATAGGTTTAGAATCTGTAGTAAAGATGTTTTCTTGAATTTGCTTGTATTTGAATTGAAAAGATTTCTTGAAATTTAAGATAATGAAAGTAGGAAGACGCGTAGTTTTGAGGGCGATACCCCAGAGTGGAATTTAAGCGAAAAACTATAAAATAAATTGGAATCCACATTTTTATAGTCCACCAACTATAAACATTCGATTGTTTTCCGAGTGAATTCAATTCATTTTAAATCGTTCCGTTATTACTTTTCGCAACAAATTTTAAAGCAACCCAAATTTATTTTTGAACTGGAAAATTCACGCGATCATGGTTTCGTGCCATTTGTAGTTCTTCCTAAACATTGTTCAGTTATTTATTATCCGATTCGAAAATGCGCAATGTTTAATTTAGGGAAATTGAATTTAATTTTTAATTCACGTATGGATTACGAAAAAATTTGTCAACAATAGCTTTTTTTATTCCCCAATTTCCCAGGTGGTCGTAAACTGTTACCTGATGTTTGTTGTAAATCCGTTCGAGTTCAGGTTCCATTTAATTTTATTGGCAGTTTGTGTTAGTACTGCTAATAAACATAAACTTGGGTATTAAGAATTAATTTATTTTCAATTTAGACTAATTCTTTGTATTTTATTTTATTATATTTTTAAATATAGTAAAACCTTGATAGAACGAACTTCGAATATAATGGATAAAATATCATCCATACTATTAATATTATCTATTAAATATATCAGTACATTTAAATATAAATGTTAGCGCTTATAGATAGACAACTAAAGCTAGAACTAACACTAGCATTAGAATTAACACTAGCCCTAAAACTAAAAACATTCGGCTTTAGCCATATGTATGTATCTTAAGACTGCTAAACCCGAATATTTCAAGTTCTAGTGTTAGTTCTAGCTTTTTTTGCTATTTAGCGTTAGATTGTTGTTTATTTTTTCATTGAAGTAAAACTAAAACTAGCACTATACTACCTAGAACTAGAATCATTTGGATTTAGCCGCACGTCTCTAAAGACGGCTAAACCCGAATGTTTCTAGTTCTAGTGGAAACACTAGCATTAGAATTAACACTAGCCCTAAAACTAAAAACATTCGGGTTTAGCCATACGTCTCTTAAGACTGTTAAACCCGATAGTTTCTAGTTCTAGGTCTAGTGTTAGATCTACCTTTAGTTCAATAAAAATATACAACGATCTAATGCTGAATAACAATTAAAACTAGAACTAACACTAGACCTAGAACTAGAATCTCTAAAGACGGCTAAACTCGAATGATTCTAGTTCTAGGTATAGTGTTAGTTCTAATTTTATACTTGCACTATCACTAGAACTAACACTAAAACTAGAAACATTTGGGTTTAGCCATACGTCTCTTAAGACGGCTAAACCCGAATGATTCTAGTTCTAGGTACAGTGTTAATTCTAATTTTATACTTGTACTATCATTACAATAAACACTAGAACTAGAAACATTCGGATTTGGCCATACGACTCTTAAGAATAAAAATTAAAACTAGAACTAACACTAAACCTAGAAACATTTGGGTTTAGCCGTCGTAAGAGATGCACGGCTAAACCCGAAACTTTCTAGTTCTAGGTCTAGTGTTAGTTCTAGTTTTACACTAGCACTGCTACTATGTAGAACTAACACAATACCTAGAAATAGAATCATTTGGGTTTAGCCGCACGTCTCTAAAGACGGCTAAATTAACACTAATTAATTTAGAATTACACTAATTAACACTAGAACTAGAAACATTCGGGTTCAGCCATACGTCTCTTAAGACGGCTAAACCCGATAGTTTCTAGTTCTAGGTCTAGTGTTAGATCTACCTTTAGTTCAATAAAAATATACAACGATCTAACGCTGAATAACAATTAAAACTAGAACTAAGACTAGACCTAGAACTAGAAACATTTGGGTTTAGCCGTCTTAAGAGACGCACAACTAAACCCGAAACTTTCTAGTTCTAGGTCTAGTGTTAGTTTTAGTTTTACATTAGCACTGCTGCTATGTAGAACTAACACAATACCTAAAACTAGAATCATTTAGATTTAGCCGCACGTCTCTAAAGACGGCTAAACCCGAATGATTCTAGTTCTAGGTATAGTGTTAGTTCTAATTTTGTACTTGCACTATTATTAGAATTAACACCAGAACTAGAAACATTCGGGTTCAGCCATACGTCTCTTAAGACGGCTAAACTTGAATGTTTCTAGTTCTAGGTCTAGTATTAGTTCTAACGCTAGTGTTAGTTAGCTTTAGTTATTATTAAGTGTTAGATTTTGATAGATTTTTCATTAAACTAATACTAGAACTTACACTATTTTTCATAGAACAAACTTTTAGCTATAAGAAAGATTCCATTCCTCGTATTAATCCGTTATATCAATGTTTTGTATAATAAAAATGAAATTTTATAAAATCACAAACAAATAAGATACTTAAATATCATAAAAAGTGGCAGTACATCCCAAATAGATGAAATTGGCTCTTGGCACGTCTGTGACATAAAATTTTATCTTCGATCGAGGATTGAATGGCAAACAGACGATCGGGCGACCAACGTCGCTTGTCATCTTACGACGAAATCGGTGCAGAAATGAAATGAAGAGAAAGAAAAAGAAAAGTGCTTGCAAACTGTTCTCCTTTGCATTCAAATTGGATTTGAACGGGTGAAATTAAAAAAGTAAATCTTTCCGGTCTGTATAAATTCCATCTCAACTTTGGTTCGAAGCTTTTTACCCGTTAAATTAAGGTCGCTTAGGAAATACATGTAATTGAAAAATGTATTACCGCAGAGAGGTGATTAAGTGTCGTTTCCAGTTTTATACAGTATTGATCGCGCTTCTAATAGCCGCATTAAGACAACCTGATTAACGTACAACCAAGCTTGTCTTCATTCCGGGCCGGGAAAAACTTTGAACCTTTTATACAAAAAAAAATATACTCGCTGAGATACTAATTAACTGGAAAATTAACTTTTAGCCAACCTTAAGTTTATCCTTTGAAGTAATTATGTGATCATCTTTAATGTTATTACCTACCTAGAGATATCATTATAATTTTATATACTTACTTTTCGCAGTTTCATTTAAAAAAGCCGTAGAAAACATTATATCTCCAGTTCCGTGATAAATTTCTAAATAGTGCCTCTCTTGCAATTTTTGCAGTGAATACCAAACATGGTCTATTTTATTCGGATTCGGATGATCATTTAGAGCGTACATTGTAGCGATGGCTGTATTGTTTGGTAAAAGAATGCTTCTATTTCCCGGAATGTCCAACTCGACTTCACTCATTGTAAAATAAGCAGCGTTTCCTGCAACAAAGAAAATCATGCTGTAGCATCTCCATTTTTAAGATTAAACCGGATTCCTTTCTCTGTGCGTCCCGAGGGTACTCCTAAAAATGACTAAGGAGGGTATCTTTTTATTCCTTATAGCGATCGGTAACTAATTTCGTTTGTTTGTGGGGAAAAAGGTTGGATGAATTTTTCATATTTTGTCCAAGTTAAAACAGCCGCTATTTTATTCAGCAGCCGTGCGTCTCGCGGAAAACCGAATAGAATATTCCGGGGTCCGTGTAAAGAATGTAAAGTGCATCTTGAAGGTTCCGCCTGTACAGAAAGCATCCGATGTTATGAAAAGCTTCTTGAAATATTCGATATCATAAGATGGGTATTCACTTGCAAAAGCCATTACGAACGAATACAATAATTTAAAGGAGTAATGAATATGAGAAATTACAGGAGTCGTTTATGCTTTTGAAAGTATTTTGAAATATCTAAAGTAATATAGATAGAGGGAATGATTATAATAAAGAAGTTGGACAGTTTATAAGATTCTTTCTGATTCGTGAAATTCCATCACACGAGTGAATAAAGCTAAAAAAAGGTTTAGAAATTGAACTCGTAATCACTTTTAGTTCACTACTCGTATTTATTATTAACACTTTTTTATTGGTTACATCCTGATAATGTTTCGGGTTTTATTGGCAAAAATTGTTTGGTTTGAATAAATCAAATGACAAAATAACATAAACTAACTGAAACAAAAAAGTTTAAGTTATTTTAGATAGATATGCTGGTTTAAAATAGCCATTGACAACAATAAAATTAGAAGAGGAAGTTCAACTTTATTGAGAGAAGGTGGGAACAAATTTGAAGCTTTGAAGCATTTTCTAGAGTAAGACTACATAAGAAACGGGCACACCCTGGACAATTTCAAGTAGCTTCTTTTCTTGGCAAACTTATTGTCTAGATTGTCAACATCATGGTAAAACGTAACAAGACGATTATTTCCAAACGTGTTATGGGTTTGGAATCTGATTTAAACTATCATTGTGAAAAGCTCAAATATGTCGGATACACTACAAAAAACAACTCTTAGTTCTGAAACCACCGAATCTATCTTGCAGAGTATCATAGAAGGAGTAGCAGTTTCTACACCTACGCCTTTGTAGCTCAATACTTCATTACGAACCACTACTGTTGGATCGAAGGCAAGATGAAGATCTCGTCATTTACTAAAAACGAAACTTTTTCTGAAGTCCACGCCGGAGCATAGCAGTTCAGTGTTCTCTATTGCTTCTATTCTATAATAGATGAGGCTAAGGTCGAGTGGTATATGGAACTACTTTAATGTAGAAGCTGATGAAAAAGCAAAATGTAAAATATATGAAAACTATAACACTATAACTGGATTAATTAATCATTTAAAAATGAAGCAAGCCGATGAATTTCTTAAATAAAATTCTAAGAAAATAGTAGTGCAAAAAACGGATACCTGCTTGATTCCAATACAAGCAGTTAAAAAACAAATAACGCTATCGAAAATGCTTCAGTTAAGACAACTTTGGGATTCCTCTGATAAAAAAGCAATGGAACTTGATACTTGATAAATTGGTTGCAGAGATGATTGTTGGTCAAAATTTTTCTTTTAATTTTGTGCAAGATGTCTTTTTTAAACGTTTACTGCGGGCAACGTCACCCAAATATGAATTAAGAGGTCGCAAATTTTTTACAGACTTTGTGTGTGATGAATTATATGATAAACGAATTTGAAAGGCTAACATTCACTAAAGAGGTTTGGTCTGATCCCAGCGCAGGCGTTTCACTTCTAAGCCTAACAGCTCATGGAATACCAGAAGATTTTAAAAAAATTAACATGGTTTTAAAATGTGAATCAAAGCACGGCAGTCACATAGGTGATGTCATATTTGAAAAACTAAGTTTAATGCTTGAAGAGTGGAACATAAGTGAAAAGGTTCACTGTTTTATTGACGATAGAGGATCAAACATGGTTAGAGCTATAAACCTGTCTCACTTTGCTTATGCTAATTGCCTAATTGCTAATTTCATGATAGCTTCAATTATGCATCAGGTTTATTCGAAAATGAAGATGTCGTAAAAGTGAAAAATACAAAAAAATTGCAAGTCAATTATTAAAGACTCTCCAACAAGGTATGTATTGGTATGTATTTGTGGTTTCTTGTTTTTTTCATCATTTCACGACTTTTATTAGTTATTAGTTAGGATATAAAAGCCGTGTAAGTGAGTAATCTATTTTTGTCTGATGGAACAATAGGTGCTATATGATGGAACGTTTCTTGAAAATAAAAGATTCTATTGTTCTTTATTTAAGTACTAACAATAGAATATCAGTATTGGTATCTTCTCAAGACTGGGAAATTATGGAAAAATGTATGTTTATATTTAAACCATTTGAAGAACTAATTAAAGAATTAAGTAATGCCAATTCCAACATTTTACCCGTCATCCTTCTAATACACGTAATTAAATCATCACTACAAGAGGAAGAACAAAGAACAATGTTACTCAAATCAAGCAAATCGTCAGAATGTTAATTGCAGAAGTACAGAAACCGAAATTATTACCATTTTTAACAATTACTATGATTTACGTTTGTTACAATTTAGTAATGAGAATGAACAACCTCTGCAAAAAATTAAAAATGAGGATACATCAATTAAACTAAGATTAGAACTAAAACTAGTTCTAATCTTAGTTTAATTCACACCGGCCGTGAAAGCCTTCGTACTTATATGAGGATACATCAATTGCCGCTTGAAAATCAGATCATTCCCATATTAAGTATGTTATGAAAAATTTATTGGGCTCAAGTCGTGAGAAGACGATGGAAATGATTATGAATGACACAGGACTCATTGCTACAAAGTTGAAGTTTCTTTTAGTTGACTATAGTAAGCAGAAAAAACTGCAACTTTCAGAAAATCCCTTGTTATGGTACAACAATAGATTAAAGTACAAAAAGCTCATTCCTATAGTTCGTACATTTTTGTCGAATGCTCCAGGAACTCTACCTAGTGAACAGCTGTTCAGTAATGATCCTTTCAGAAATCAACTTAATAGTGATAAAACAGCAAAACTCCTTTTTCCAAAATACAATCTTTCTTTGTTTAAGTTTGGTTATTAATTTTTTAAGTAGTAAAGTTAGTTACCTACAAAACATTTAATAAAACTTATCTTTTGTGTTTTTGAATTTTGTTAAATGCTTTTCCTGTTGCACTTTTGAGTTTAAAATTTTTCAAAACAATTTGTATTCGCCTTCGCTATAAATACATTCGTAACAACCCTAGTTCTTGCTGATCTCGACTAGACGTTACACTATCAACTACAATTACTAGAGAGGAACCTATCTGCAGCACAACGGTCTAGCATTACTGCCTATTTTCTGCTCTGTCCAGTTTCACCGTTCTTTGACAGCACTCCGCCAATGAAGTTCAGATTACACAAATTTGGGATATCATTGTGGCCACGCTGCAAGAAGACTGAAAGAAGAGCTATAGCGATCACATACAAAAAAAGGCAGAACCTATTTCAGAAGGGATCATCATTAATTGTATAGACAACATTGGTATCTTATCTGTCTTATCTTCCAATTCAACACTATCAGAATTTTCTTGCAAGGAAATGTTACAAACTAAAGGATGAAGCTCCGTCATCAATTAAATCAATGATTTTAAAAAATTTTATAAAAAATTTTCTGTTCACCCAGGAAACTTTAAATTTTATATAATTTTACTTCAAATATTGTTCTATAAACACAAAAAATTTCATTAACTTCATTTTCAAAAAACGTTCCAATAAATTTTCTAATCTTTAATTAGACATTTGTATAAGATAACGGCATTTTTAGTTCAAAATTGTGTATCAATCAGAAAATAATATTTTAATAATGTTAAACAGATGGAAATAGAGAATTTTAGATACCAATTAAATATGGGAATGTTAACACACTTCACTTCTTTGCAAAATATTAAATAATATAATTTTGATTATTAATAATCATTCTAATTATCAATTATATTTTATTCATTTAACCACGTTTCATTCCATTTGTCGAAACTATTTGTGCAAAACTTTTAAGGAAAAAAAAGTAAAACTTTACGTGAGCACATACGAATATGTAAATTAATTTTGAATTAGTAGATACCAACATTTCTGTTGGTAGAAATCTGTTGAGGGTTAAAAAATTGAATTAAAGCTCACGATTTTCCATGGCAGCCGGTAGGAACGAGTTGGTACACGTTCACGTACCGGTCTCCGTCGTCACTTTGATAGCATTCCCTTTGCAAAATAACTCACGTACGGTCTACATGTCAAAAGGGAAAATACAATTTCAAAGCCGATGCGATGCGACGGTACAATTCCCCATTTCGACGCGCGTTTTCGCAATTAACTTCCATTGGGTATTTCGTTTAGTGAAAACACAAGAGTGGAGCGGCGGCGAACCACGTAATTTGTACGACAACAATCGATTTCGACGCTTCACGCCTATCGAAACATTGAACTTCTGGAAACAAGTTCGTCAAAGTTTACAGTTTGCGCAAAACAAATATGCACCTGGTGAAAATCGATAACCACGGCGCCCACCGTGACGGACGCCGCGCCGTAAGTGGCTCCTGGTTTTAATGAAGCCATTTCAGATTTCCGACACGTTTGGCGATGGTTGCAAAAAAACCACGACCTGGAATTGAATCCTTTGACGCAATCGCCCCTAGGACACCTTTAAACGATCACCGGTTAACTCTGAAAGGAATAGCGATTGAAGGTTTTAGAGCTACGGTTAGAGGATAATTGATTTTCTAACTCAAGATTACCATCTATTCGTTTACGTTCAGGTTGTTACCGTGTTTTCCCCGTTTCCGTTGCCGTGTTAAACCAAGAATTGAAAGTACCTACTTTCAGAGAGAAATGGATTGTTTGATTAGATGCAAGATTTTGGAACCGTTTACTGTCTCCTATCAGTTCACGGATATCCACGTCAACAATCGCTT